AGTGGTGTTGATTGAAGCTGAAAGAATACATTATAATAAAGTAAAATATATAATAGTTATTAGAAAATTTGAGCTTTATATTGCTAAAAATATCTCAGCATTAATATAAAGACTTATCTGGCCTCCAAAAACTTACTTTACTTGTGGCAGAGATGGGATGGTTTTCTATCGAGCACGTGGGTGTGTATGTCACACAGTAGTCTACTGTGTTTTGTGGAAAATACCCTATTAAAGCAGAAGACATAAGTAGGTTGCACTTATTCGATCTTAAGTTTCCTCCGATCGTTGCGTAGTTATGGTACAACCACCAAGTGTGTTGTAATAAGGCTAGATTTAAAGTACGTAGTAGCACGATGAGGGCCTATGAAATTTCACCAACTGCAGTGGTTAGGACATGTCCCTACCTATCACCTACTCCAATCCACAACACTAGTTGATAGGGGATCTGAACCATGTCACAAGATTTAATAGTTGTAATCTATATTTAAAGGTTTATAACATGGCACAAAATTAAACGTAATGGTCTTCAAACACTAATCCTCCCGACTACTGCTCATACTCTTACTGCTACTACTACCACTATGGGATTTGAATCGACAACTGCATCTATGTGCTAATGTGGTATGGCAACTCGGACTGATGTACGTACGTACGAAGTTCTACGTTGTGACTGACTGACTGAAACGTAGTGGTACAGTCGCATCCATTTTCTGTCTTTTTTTAAACTCAAGTTTAATCTTACTCCAAAATTCTCATTCCTTACGTTTTAATGATATTTTTCACACTCAGCTTTCAGTTATTTTCGTTATTATTTTCCGTCATTTACTCATCCCATTGTTGTACCATTATAATATATGGTGACGTAAGTCGTCGTACATTAGCAACACGTTCTAAGTCGATGTTTGGCTGATTACGTTGTAATCCGGGCTACTAATCACATTTTTATTCTTCTCTTCAGTTAATATGCTGTATTATCCAATTATCTCTGTTGAATCAATGAAATCATCTATTCATGAGTTGATATACTGCGGCTAAGCCAGGTATGATTTGTACGTTTAATTTAATCAACATCAATATTGGTATAAGAAGTTTGTGAAGATTGTTCAGTTGAATACATTTTACATGATCGCTAAATATTGCGCATTAATTATGGCTCAAGGTGTAAACCATTAGATACCAACTCAGTAGTAGTCCTAAGTTTAAGTGCTCTTTACAAAGGGTGAAATCCCCAGGTTTAATCCATGGTGATGTCGTGGATATCCGCTACAGAATAGTAGTCCTATACTGGAACAAAACAACTGTCTACTAGTTCCTGGTCTTCAGTGTTTATGTAGTTAAAAATCAGTCCTTAATGAAAAACTACAAAAAGAGATCAAATAAGTTGTGTCATTCTCGCTAATGAATCTAAAGTAAATAATTGATAACAGTTTAATTCTTAATTGATAACAGTATTTACGTGAATTTTTATAAATTCAGTGAATCTATTTTCATGTAGGTGAACTGTTACAATCGGATATATAGATTATTACGATTTTCTCATAGCTGATTGAATGATGACGAAATGTACGGTGCAAGAATAATTCATACTTACTTAACATTATTGTAAACTAACTGACAAAATATTACGTAGTCACTTTGTTTATTCACCCTATTAAGCATGGTCATTTGAATTGCAAATAGCTGTCAATCAGTGAGAATCAATTTCACATTACATAGCAAAAATATTTCAAGTTTTATATCTGTGATTCAATTGTTGTGTATTTCACATATGCTCACACCAGTTCAATAATACCATTACGGGTTCTTTTCGTCAATGTTTTCGTCTAACATTCACGTTCATCTCGAAACGAACTCCAAACAACAAAGTTATATACAACTTCAAGATTTAAAAAATTGTACGTAAATTGAAAGATTAGTAATGAGAACAATTGACTGTAGTGCCTTGAAAAATATGTGCAATATTCTGGTGTAGTTCTGTTCTTTGATCTGGATGGTTTGGTCGTAGAGCTTTCGTTGTTCCTCTGAACACCAACAGCACAAACTTCAGGTAGAAGTGAAGTGTCCGAATTTCTTTACATATGACTCACAGCTCTTTTCCTGTAGACCTCAATCTTGATTGACTATAGTTGACCTTTAACCTGTCATTGCTTACTTGTTTCTTTTGATTTTATCTCCCATTGGTTTGAGTTTTGGTTATATATTTGTCCATGATTTTTCTGATTGGTTGATAGATTGAATTAAGTTCAATTTGTTTATTGGTAACTGATTGACTTCAGTTCCAAGCTCCTTAAAATTCTCTGGTGTTTTTAGAATTTCCTCTACCCAAGATCTCAACATTTTTCCAGTCGGATATGTGCCTAGATGCAAATTAAATAGGAAAATACCTTAGTTCCATAATTCATTATCAGAAATTCCATTTGGAATTATGAAATTAAATAATTGTATTATATCAAAGATTTTCATTACTGTACATAACTAGCATAATGTAAAATTGGTTATTAAGCTTGTTAGTATTTACCGTTGCTTAACAATTTCAGTTATATCAAAATCATCACAAATTTATGTAAAAAAAATATATTAACTCCATGTTCAGTTAATTTTTTTTGGAATGATTAAAATTACTAACTGGAAACTGTACACAACACTTTCTAGGAGAAAAGCATATTTTCTGCCTCAATTATTCTCTTTGAACTAGATTTCTTATATTCAGATTCTATTTTCATTGTTATCATTTTAATCCATTTTTAATTTTCTGCCCCATTTGACTACTGTGAGTTGTGACAAACTGAACCGATACAATATTCATGCCAGTTTCTACATTGTGTATAACTGATTAAGTTGTAGTGTATAAGTAATATGATTTGGAATTAATCGTAATCTTTATAGATGTATGCAATAATTGTTTAACTATAATATATTGAATATTGTCTAATTTTTCATATATTGTTTTCTATACTTATATTCCTCTAACTTTAATTTCGTCTTGGTTTATTTATTATTTATTTAAACACATTAATATTTGTACAAGGAAACACCAGATACATATGCTCCACACAAATCTCATTTGATTTGTGTGAGGGCTGTGATACTGCTCAGGTGCCCAAACTGAAGCAGGTGGTTTACTTAGGGGGCCACACACGGAGCCTTTGACCTAAAGGTCTGATCCACAAGGCAGTGGAGCATCGTGAGGAGATGCAGTCCCATGGTAGCCGGTGATCAATGATTGATTCGTACGCCATTTGTTCCTTCAGGATACTGGAGCCCATGTGCACCATTGGTTTGGAATCAGGGTTTTCCAACTTCCCTAGGTGGACTTTCCATGTCCACCAACCCGGTTAAAGCGTCGGACATTCGCTTTTCGCCCTCTCAATTTCGTAAACAACAGTGATGCCACGAGAAGGCAGTGAGTAGGACTTGGTTTCTATATAGTCAATCTTGAGCAACTGCAGTTTTGTTCTACAGAGCTTTTAATTAGTTCTCTGTTAGTTTTTGTATTCTGCTAACTAATATTGTTTAGCTTATACACTAGAAGTTCATGTCATCAATTTTATTTTATGACTATAAACAACTGAATCAATATCTTAAAACCAAGAAAAATATTTATTCATGTTTCTTTTTGCGCTAACTAAGTTCGTTATGGGGTTTATCCAGATAATTAGTTTCGTCCCAATATATCAGAGTCGTCCTTGCTCATTTCCGAGGAGTCCCATCCCGGGACGAAATAGTTTTCCAATGCTTTCAGGTTTTCAATAATTGTCTATCTTATATCGGTTTACGATATGAATGAGATTCATTTGAAACAGTCCCGTATAGTACATACATCATTGTATTATATTATGCAATCAGTCTTATCTAAATATCATGGTTCATATTTTATATAGTTAAGATCATGAGTCAATTGAAGCCAGACCACCATGGAATACCTGGAAGCACTGAACGGCCGTTTCGTTCTATTGTGGGACTCCTCAGTGGTGCGCATCCAGGATCCCGCCTCGCGGGACTCGAACCTTGGACCCCGCGAGCACAGGATCCCGAGAGGCGGGATCATGGTTCAGTTTACCTATTCCCCTTAAATTCAGTTTTTTGTTAAACGTATTGTTGTACTTGCCCACGTTCTTTTTGATTACGTCATACTATTCACTACTATTAAGTAGTTCAAAGTTTTCACTAATCATTTTCATGTTGTACATAATGCCATTTAGACTCTTCCAAGAGCTTCTTATAGCCACTTGCTTGTGCAATGGGGTGAAGTCTTTGATTATAAACTTGTGACTTAAGGCAACATCGAGGCAGTCCGCACATGATGCACACATGCCAACGAGAGACTAATCAATTGCAGTCCTAAATAATAATGAGAAGATACAAGTAAACAACACCAAGTGAATTAAATGATAGTTCTCCTATACGTTTATTTAGAGCAAAAATAATTATAGGATTATGGTTTTCATGTGTCATTCAACTAACAGTAAATTCCAACAGGGTTGTCAGCTTTAATTTCCATCTACAGTATCAGAATTCAATGTATTCGTTTAAAGTACATAGGTTGGAGTATTTGGTCACTTCGATGATCCTCGAATGCATATTTTATCTTTCCAGGGTAAAACCTTTTAGTCTGTATCGTTTTCTGATACTATTTGATTTAAAGTCGAGTTGCTGTGATGGACTACATATCCCTTTAATCCAGTCGATAGAATCTTGGCTAGTTAAGCGTAAATCATTAATCCCCCATTTCATATCTCTTAAAAAACGTCTTTTATCACTTTTGTTGCCGATAATTGAAGCTGAAGAAACGTTATTTGGCTTAAGAATCTAACCAACAATCTTTTTATCACTAGCCCGTACATTCAGTGAAAATCTTTGTCTCAACCAGCTTGTATTAAAAAGCCCTTTCAATGTATTTTTCTTATTTGAGATATTTTTAGATTATATATTTATGATAATACATATTACTGAAAAGAACATTTTGACTACTTAACATATTTGTGTCCATTAATTCGTAGGCTGCCGTACGTTATTTCCCTGATCTTCCTCAGAGGGATTTTATCAATCATCAGGGAACTAGAAGTAATCCTTCTCCAAAAACTAGGGATAACAAACCTGAAAAGCAAAGTAGCCAAAGATCAGATTCGATTATGCGGTCAAAAATAAATTCATGTAGTTCTTTTCCTTCGAAACTGAATTCACGTATTCCAACTCCTGATTCATTAGAGTCATCCATGTCTTTTAATAACTCTCCTCATCTTTCACCGATACCTAGCTCAGATCCAACCAGTTTCGACAAATCTTTTCTGTCTACTAATGATATTACGAATCCAGCTGTTGACAAAACCTTTCGAACTGTATATTCACCTCTACATAATCCAGTCACCGGAGATAATGAATCACACTATCGTTTAAGAAATATCTCTAATGATCCATCACTTAGAAATGTACGTAAAAGATTACAACCATCCAACCGCTTGAAAATTTCCCCGATCTCCTATGATAAATCTAAGTCTGACAATAGTAATCATCCTTTAATTAATACAGAATCGTTCACCACCGCAGACTGCGAGATTAATGATTTACAAGAAAAGTGTACCAGTTTACCATTGTCTTCTCATTCGCCGTCATCAGCTTCATCAAATTCTACAGTTGGATTTTTCCGTGATCCATTTAGTTCAGATAGTGAGGGGACATTAATTGATTCATCAAATATCAAGTTATCAGAACAAACTAACAATACACAAATCAATAGATCATCAACATATGCATTTCATTATTCGCCTAATTTATTATCAACTATCAAAAATAATTCCAATGCTCCAATTCATAGACTAAAATCAAAATCATCAAGAGGTCGTAAAACTCCGTGGTGGGACAGAACTCGTGGCAAAAAATCCAAAGTTACTACTAATAATAATAACATTCAATGCGATAAACATAATGAAGGTTTATCATATGAGAAGAATTCACTAGTAAGTTTATCATTACAGTGTATCATGAATAGGTAAACAACAACACTTTTTTAATGAGGGTTGCAGTTCTGTTGATTTGTTTGTAAGCTTTCACTACCTTTCTCTCTAGAAGACTTGTTTCAAGTGTCCTTTTTTCCCGCTCACTTTTCTCTACACCTTTCGGTATTGTTTATATATATATGGAATCTATTACTTCATGCCTTAACTTCCAGTTTTATATTTGTTTGCTGAAATGGTAGTTTCGTATTCAAAAAAACAATAACAATAGCTTCCGTAGAGAGTTTGATCGTCTATTAATTTCCATAATAATGATCAAACTCACAAATATATGTACACCTATTTATAGGCAACATTGTTTATCTATGTAGGCTGCATTAAAATTGCAAATAAAAACAAATCACTTTGCTATTTTTCTGAATCGTATGAAATTTAAAAGATTAGCGCTAAAACGCTGATCACATTGATATAACATGTGTAAAATGAGGCTATACAGGAAATCCTGTAACATATATTAAACTGCCACTTTATGCTTCCCGACCGTTGCTGCTACCTTGACGTGGTGGTCGGGCTTGCCTATCGTGATGATCCAATCGAGCTATGCTGGCTGGAACAATCGTTCCTCAAGGTCCTACCATGCCAGACAGGTCGGTTGAAGAGCGGTGAGACTAAAAGCAGCAATCCCAATGTCCGAAGGCGAAGTCGTACTGCTGACTGTACAGAGGTGTGAAAGCAGTAAGGTGTTTTCTTCAGACAACCAGCATGACAGCGATGCTGCCTTCCCACAAGGAGGGGTGGGGTTAGAAATGGTCGACCCTAAAAATGCACACCTCGCCTTATCCCACAGATTTCCGTCTCCGGCGGTAAGGACTTTTGAAGAACGGAGCTAACACGTCAAAAATCCCTCACAAAAAGGCCATGCGTGACCGGCCTCAAGCAGATGTCCCTTGGGCACTGCGGTCACGCTCCCAGATCGTTAAGACCAACACTAATCCAACTTCTTTTTCAGGTCCCTCAAGAAATACCCTTCCACGGTGTGGACAGCCGGGAAGTGATACTAGCCCTCATACCCTTAACTGCACACGAGACCAAGTTGGTCGCTTTCAAATCCTTCCTACACCTAATAACTCTGTTATCTCCACGACTAACCCTTCCCACGTCCTTTTATCACCTCGCACCGCTAGGGCAAACGATTCGAGTACACAGAACGTTATTCCTGGTCTCCTGAAACCACGCTCTAAACTACATATAGGAACTTTTAATGTCCGAACATTGTGCCAAATAGGACAACAGGCTTCCTTAGCTAGGACTCTAGAATCTTACACCATCGATGTGTGCTGCGTCTCCGAAACGCGCATACAAGATCCGAGTAGCGTCATTCATTTGACCGCACCTAATCAAAATAAAGTTTCATCTCGATACACGCTTCGTGTATCTGGAAGCCCTGACGCTGCTTCCCGTGGCCTCGCTGGAGTAGGTATAGCATTAAGTCGTAGGGCAGAACTAGCTCTTTTAGACTGGATCCCAGTAGACAGTCGTCTATGCGCTGTCCGACTAAACGGATCACTAAGGACCCGGAAAGATAGAGAAACTCGTCGTTGCCTCTTCGTCGTCTCTGCCTACTCTCCCACTGACTGCAGCTCAGACGATATAAAAGATGAGTTTTACAGGAAACTTTCTGACCTTCTCCGAGAAGCTAGGCGTTCTGATGTAGTAATGGTGGCTGGTGACTTTAATGCTCAAGTAGGTAAACTAAGTGAAAGGGAAAGACACCTGGGTGGATCTTATGGTGTCATGGCGAAAAGAACAGATAATGGCGACCGTCTGTTGCAGCTATGCTCAGATAACCGACTATTTCTTGCAAATACTAACTTTAAGCATGAGGAAAAACATCTTTTGACGTGGCGACCCCCGAATTCGTCCCAACGTTGGACCCAATTAGATCACATCGCTGTCAGCCACCGATGGAGGGGCTCGATAGAAGACTGTCGCTCATTCTGGGGCACATGTTTAGATTCAGATCATGCTCTAGTGCGAGCACGTATCTGTCTGCGTCTTACTGGTCGTAGGAAAGACACTGCAGGGAAGCCTCTAAGGGTTCTACTTAATGATAGGCAAGCACAGTGGTGGGTAGCGAAAGCAAGAGAGATGGAAAAGGCAGCGGCAATAGGTAACAGTAGGCAGCTATTCAGACTCGTTAAAGAAACCGGTATTAGGAACCCGAATATCAGTGAAACCATCTCAGATAAAGATGGGCATATTATTCATTCTCAATCCAGGAGATTGGATCGATGGGCAGAACACTTTAGGGATCAGTTCAACTGGCCTTCAGCCAAACTTCAATTACCCACGATCCCCAGTCGTCCTGAATGGCAAATTGATGTAAGTCCTCCAACCCTCTGTGAGGTTGAAAAAGCTATAGGAAATCTGAAGCGAGGGAGAGCAGCAGGCCCTGACAGGTTGACCCCTGAGATTTTTAAGGATGGTGGTCCAGTACTAGCAGTGAGATTGACTGAGGTCTTAGGTAGAATCTGGGAACTGGACGTAATTCCATCTGACTGGTCCCAATCACTGATTGTGCCAGTCTATAAGAAAGGACAAAAGTCCTCTTGTGACAATCACAGAGGGATCAGTTTGACTAATATAGTGTCTAAAATATTAGCTTCAATAATACTAGGTCGCCTAACCAAAGCTCGTGAAGAGAAGACTAGAGAAAACCAGGCTGGTTTTCGACCTGGACGTGGTTGCATAGACCAGATATTCACCCTACGTCAGGTTCTAGAACATAGACACAAATTCAGACGTCCCACAATAGTAGTATTTCTTGACCTTAAGGCGGCATTTGATTCCGTTGATCGTGCGGTTGTATGGCAGTGTTTGTCACTGAAAGGAGTACCAAAGAAGTACATTAACCTCATAAAGGCTCTCTACTCGAACACAACTGGTCGAGTTAGAGCTTATGGCGAACTGTCATCAGAACTGATTACCACAAGTGGTGTTCGTCAGGGCTGTCCACTCTCCCCATTCTTGTTTAACTTTGTCATTGACATACTTTTAGAGATAGTACTTTCATCAGCTAAACCTCCAGGAGTTGAACTTTTACCAGGAGGCTCACTTGTTGACTTAGAGTACGCCGACGACATAGTTTTACTTGGTGAAGACGCTGACAAAATGCAGAGTCTTCTGACCACTATAAGCAACAATGCAGGCATGTTCGGGATGCGATTCTCTCCCTCGAAGTGCAAAATGTTACTTCAGGATTGGGTTGCACCGACTCCTGAACTAATGATAGGGAGTGAAGTAGTTGAGCGTGTAGACCACTTCACTTATCTTGGGAGTCTCATCAGCCCTTGTGGTCTGGTGTTTGACGAAATCTCAGCACGGATACAGAAGGCTCGTCTAGCTTTCGCCAACTTGCGTCATTTATGGCGTAGGCGCGATATCCGTCTAGCAACCAAAGGACAGGTTTACTGTGCAGCAGTTCGCTCCGTCCTACTTTATGGCAGTGAAACATGGCCAATAAGAGTAGAGGATATTCGTAGGCTACTAGTGTTCGATCATAGGTGTCTTCGAAGCATTGCTCGTATATCCTGAGACCACCGGGTAAGTAATGCAGTTGTTAGGAAACGAGTACTAGGTAGGGATGGCAAATCGATTGATGAAGTAGTGAAACTTGATCAGTTGAGATGGCTGGGACATGTGTTACGTATGCCCAACCACCGACTGCCCCGACGTGCAATGTTTCATGGTGTAGGAGTAGGTTAGAAGAAAGCTAGGGGTGGCCAGACCAAAACGTGGCACAAATCAATGAAGTCACTGACAAGTGGACTGGGCCATGTTGGTAGGTGTAGACTACCTGGTTGGGATTCGCGAGATGACAGCAACCGATGGTTAGAGACCTTGAATGACATGGCTCAAAATCGTTTGCAATGGCGAAGATGCATCCACTCTTTGTGTTCTACCAAATTCTAATCTTCTGAATTATTTGTGTCTTTATATTTTTCTCTTTCCAAATTTATTTCACTGTACTATACTCCTTCAATAATTTCTTCAAACCCTAATCTTTTGGATTTCTGATTATACTCCTACTACTTCTACCACTATGGGATTTGAATCGACAACTGCATCTCTGTGCTAATGTGGTGTGGCAACTCGAACTGATGTATGTACGTACGAAGTTCTACGTTGTGACTGACTGACTGACTTTATGCTGTTTAGTAGCATTAAGTATTCATTACAATCGATTTTCTGAACAAAGTAATTCTTCCATCAAATATACAGGTTTATATCATTAGCTTTGAACTATGATAATGCTTGTGTAACATCCGCTGATACACACTACTTATCTGGGCAAGCCAAGCTCTTAACTGGAATACTGCTTATTAATATTATTTTAGTGTTTACTTATATGTATTTTCTTCAATTGTTGGTTTTCAGGTTGAAGCTGATTATCGTCAGTTTATCAACACACTTTCCAAGTGAGTTTTTTTCCATTGGATGTATGTGGATTACTCATTGTTTCATTTTGATGTTTACAAGCATTTGCATTCATCATGTAATATATATACACATCCTCATAAAAGATTATTGTTATACCTTTCGGGGAAATAAAGCTGCTTTTATTTGTCTCGTGCTTCAAAATCACTATATATTAGTTTGTTAGAGAAAATTCATCTAGGTTTATGCTCATGTTGTTCAGTCATGCCTATTACTTTTAATTGTATGCAATACATATACATTCCAGCACAATTGGACGCCAAAATATGTATGCACTACGTAGCTAACGATATAACATTATTGTGAAGTAGATTTTTATTACGAATATTAAGGGAAACTACAGCAGAATCGTCACTGTCTTCTATTATTACCCACGTTTAATAATGTATCAACCCGATGTGTTGCACAATCGCTAGGACCTCAGCCATGTTGTAACGAATCGATAGATGGCAGTTCTACACAACGTTTTTCATATCACAGTTTTCTTCACTCTGTCCCAGTGTTGACAAATAACGCACTGTGTAGAAGCAATTGAGAAGGCCTTCGTATAACGTGTCCAAGCCAGTGTTTCGAGATAGTAACGTCCGAAGACACATGGATGAACATCAGCATTACTAGCTTGGTGTTGTCACGGAATGTCAGCAGTCCTTCGAACCCATAGAGTCACCGCACATTCTCAAGTTGGAGAGACCAGTTTTCGCAATCATAGAGTAAAACTACTCACTGACGCGTTGTAATCCCAATCTTCTGTAGGCAGACTAGCGTCAGAATAGTCCAGATTGTTATATTCCGCTCGGATTTTTACTATACGTAGGTTCGTTTTGATGTAGTGAATAGGACTTTGTCTTTCGATTAGTGAAGTAAATGAAACAGTAATTTATTGAGATTGAAGTCCTTAATTAACTGAACCAGTCATTATCTACATACATCTGTATATTATGAGTAATGTCGGACCATTAAAGTCGTTATAGATACCAACTGAAACGTTATAAGACTCTTACATTAATAACTAGATCAATAGATGTTTAAAATATATTGACTCCGTACTCCCTAATTCTCTCTACTTATCACTTAACAAACCTGGTTAATTTTAGTCCTCTTAATGCATCACAATTTATCTATACGACTTTGAATTTTATTAAATTGACATTACTTAAGGGTACTTGAAGTAGTATTAGTAGCAATGATAGTTTCTAAGGAAATCACTCATTTTATCTAAAAAGAAACCTATCAATTTGCTGCGAAGTTATCGTCTTCTTTTGTTTATCTTTTTATTTTTCCATTTCCTTGTCTGACTGAATTATTTGCAAATTTCATTTTGGATCATTCTCATCATTACTTAGTAATTTTCTTTTTTTCAATCACTATACTAGTCAATCTGTTACTTCATCTGCAATTCATGCTAGCAACAATATCAGTAAAGATCTCCCGCATAGTTCTAATCAAAACATCCACAACAATGATAGTAATACATGTAAAAATACGTCGTCACGTCTATCTAGAAAAAAGTGCACTCAAATAAAAAATACTATGAATAATTTTACTACCAAAAATAGCAATGTAATGAAGTTCACATTTGATCAAAATACGCATTTCGCGTTGGGCTCATCAGCAAACACGTAAGTTGTTTGCCTTTTTCTATCTTCTCAGTTCATTGTTGTTGTAAATATTTTTTTGACCAGTCGGTGGATATCACAAATTTTGTTTTACAAGTTCATTGGCTTTTTCCACTGTCATCTGAATAGAGACAAACAGACTAGAACTAAAAAGTGAGGCCAGGTTTTCTATAGTTAACCATAGAGTGATGAGTCATTGATTAAACCATTTAACTTTCACCCGTTGTTAAGTCTCAGGTCCGAACCCCTACGTATTCACATCCTCATACTCTTTGAATCGAGTCCGAGTTATTCAAATCTCGTGATAATAAGATTAGGCCGCTGAACAGTCATTCTCACTGGTCAACATTTATAAATCCAATGAATTCGTGATTCATCACCATTCTAATTCGATTTCATTAATAAGAGTATTTCCTGTATAACATTTAACTCAGTCCAACTTGTAAGGAATTATAAGTTCTCAATCATGAGACTTCTCAAATTAAAACTAAATAATAGATATGCCATACTCAATGTATCCTTAGATGGATTATCGGATCTTACCTTTGTATATTTCTTGAGTAATAATAATAGTCACATGTATCTATCTTCCTTTTTTCGTATATCGTTTAGATTATTAATGGACATTTGCTCATCTGAAATTATTTTTCAATAATGTATTTATTTGTTTGCCTCTTTTATATTCTTCCTCTCTCGCTCCGTTATATTTTAGATGGCTTGGTATGGGTACTGCACGTGGTCGTATTTACAGTAAACATCCAGAATTATTTCGTTATATTTGTGATAATGAAGATAAAGCATGGCTTGTTCAAACTGGTCTGATCATTAGTCCTGGTGTCAAAGCATATTTAGTTCATGCTGAACAAGTACATCAAATTGCTACACAGCAAATCAATTCATATTCATCAAAAGCTGATATAGAAAAACTAAGAACCTTTAAACTACCTTATTGGTTTCTACAAAAAGTATGAAATTATTAGTATTTTATGTTGATAATGTGTGTATCCTAATTGTGTTGTCATAAAAGTGTGTGAGATGAAAGTTAGGGATGGCCAAAATAAAACGTGACATCAGTACACGAAATCAATGACTGTTAGACTAAGCCGTGTAAGTGGATTCAGACTAATTAATTAGGGTCCACATGACTATCGTAACTAATGTTTGGAGGAGACGTTGGGTAATATGACTCAAAGCAAGCCAAAACCATGTAAATCCATTCACTCTTTGTCTTTCCCTAATTCTTTAGTCTTAAACTTCTAAGGTGATCACATGTATAGTCAAATTTTACTAACAATGCTAAAATCCCTTCAGAATCGTTAACTTGCGCATTTCTTCTAATTCGATTTTCCGTATTATTTTTACCTTCTGATTGATTGTTATTGCTCTTAGTTCGCCAAATTTCTGTATGCATTAAGGTCGTTTTGTACTGCTTGTCCTACCTCAAATATCAAGTTCCCTTCAATTTGTCTTCTTCCTCTGTTGTCCATCAGGTGTTGATGTGGTTTGTAAATTGCAGTTGTCGAATTCAGAGAGAACCTGTCGTATTAGAGTAGCTCAACGGTTTTTCTTCAAGTCATAGGACCGTACTAAATCCCAATAACATGATAAAACATAAACTTATCTCATACTCTTTATTTCACGATCTTATCCTCACTTCCAAAATCACATTATCTATGTCCAACGTGTTCTATTACTACTACTGTAATGAACAAACACTTAAGTAAAGTGAACCAAAATCACACACTGGATTAGTAAAATTTGAAAATAATACATTAAATACACTATTTGCCTATCTTCCTTGATTTGTCCCTTGCAAACCCTATCGTTCTTCTGTTTCTGTTGTTATTTCGATTGGTTTCTGTTTTCCTTTCTCTTCTCTTCATTTTCCTCTTTTGTCCGTAAGAGTCCTACTTTGAGTCCTTGATACAAAATACTTATACTTGCCCGTACTAGTAGTACACACCATATTACTACTACTAATGATATCATTATGACTTTTATTTGTGTTATTAATTTGATCTCTGAATGCGCTGATATGATTCGGCGAATTGAAGCCAAATACATATTTTACAAATTCTACCTTGATTATGATCGTCTGACTGATAACCAGATTTTACTTGATCTAAATGATATTTTTCATTATTTATCAGGGTTTTTTTATGTTGTTAAACTATTAACGACTATTTTCCTGAGTTCATTGTTAATATATTTTCATCGATGATTCATATCAGTTTGTATTTCCAACTTATTCGATCTAAACATTTTCTTTTCTTCCAAACTTTACTCTTTTTAACTAGTAGTTAAAACTTATTACTGAAAGTTTAATTCAACCAGTCATTTGAATAACGATTAAAGTGATTTAGCTTCTTGTTAATTATATTTACTTCAACACCGTAGATATTAGTTATAAAGACTAGAGTGAATAGATTTTTCTGTCTTCATCTCATTTAATCCAACTGGTTGAAGATTATGTTAGAATGAGAAGGTTATTTCTTTCTTATTCATTTGCCAAATACAATTCTTCGTGGAAAGGTTGTTACGACGAATCCAATAATTATGATAGTACGTTTTTCAAGTCAACAGAGCTTATCGTAGAAATTTGCAAAAGTAAATCTCTTTTCTTGGGTTAAATATTTCCCTACCTCAATTTCTATTCCGATACACTCATAACTGAATTCGCTTTACAATTCCTCGGTGGTCTAGCTTCAATTGACTCATGCTTTCAACTATGAAACATACCAAATCTCCACAAAACCCCTTCTAATAATTCAATAATCATTTACTCATTCTATTTGTTTATTATTTAAATTGAAAAAGGTTAAAACTGTTGCATCACGTCATTCATTTTTCGTGCATGTTATATCAACTGAACTAGAGTCCACGAAGAATGAAATAGAAAAAAATATACAGGATAATTCTTCATCAGTTGATAGACCATTTGCTTCTCCTTTTATACAATCTTCGTCATCATCTATGTCCCTGTCAAATATTAGTCAATTCAAATTGGACGATTCAACCTCTTTGTCAAATCCAATGGAAACTAATCATTATACTAGTCATAATATTATTACTACTATACCATCATCGAGAAAAATCCTCGTAGGTCTCTCTTTGTTTTATTCCATTATCATGAAATTATCGGTAATCATTGTAAAGTGATACATTGAAATCTTAAGCTGCTTGACTCCATATTGAAAATCATATAGTCAATTATTATCTGGTAGTACTCTTGATGTGAACTAACCGTGTTAAATCAACAAATATTTAAATAGACAAGTGAAAATGAATGGACAAGTAATTTTTGAACTTGTGTATGTAACATTCGACTGACTACAACGAAGCTGATGCAAACTGTCTGATTCCACAGCTGACGATTATTCTTGGCGGTTTGTGGTAATTTTAATGGTTCAATTCATGAGTCGATCTAAGCTAAACCACCATTGAAAACCTGGAAGCACTGGACAATCGTATCGTCCTAGTATGGGACTCCTCAGCAGTGCGCATTAACATGTTTGGATGCTGGCTCAATTGTCTAGAGGCTAAGCGTTTGCGCTTGAGACCGAAGGTTCTGGGTTCGAGTACCGCATGTGAGATCGTGGGTGCGCACTGCTGAGTAGTCCCATACTGAGAAGAAACGACCGTCCAGTGCTTCCAGATTTTCAATGGTGGTTTAGCTTAGATCGACTCATGTATTCAACTATTCTTGATTTAACCAAAGTCCAACTCGAACTTGTTTGTTTTTGTTAACACTCCTGATGGCTTTTTAATTAAGCATTTTTATCTAGTTGAAGCTAGTTTATTCAACAGATACATATGCGCCACACAAATCTCTTTTGTTTTGTATAAGGGCTGTGATACTGCCCGGTTGACCAAACCGAAGCAGGTGGTTTTCTTTGGGGACCACACCCGGAGCCTTTGAATGAAAGGTCTGATTCAGAAGGCAGTGGAGCATCATGAGGAGATGCATTTTCATGGTAGCCGGCTACCAACGATTGATTCATACTCCATTTGTCCCTTCAGGATACTGGAGCCCATGTGCATCATTGGTTTGGAATCAGGACTTTCCAACTTCTCCAGGTGGATCCTCCGTGTCCACCAGCCCGGTTAAAGCGCCGAAAATTCGCTTTTCGTCCTCTCAATTTCGTAAACAACACCCCCGCAGTGAGTAGGATCTCTCTGGCAGAGGCTATATACGCGTGGCCATGTGAGAGCATTTGGAGAGGGAGAGCGGACTCTCCTCACTTTCGGCCGTACCAGGGCATTTGGGGGCATTATTTCGTTTTTGGTGCTCTAATTCTCTCACAAACTCACTGATTTGTACAAACAATATGTTTTACAACACAATTTTGTATGTGACATGCATAAAGTGATTTAGTTCACTAACGAAAAATAACTCTAAATAATATCCAAATTTATACAAATTGAACTTGTAGGCGGGCGGATTTAGTAAGAAAGAGAGAAGATGACTTCATCGCATCTACATATTTTTATGATTACGATAGAAAGAATGATGTAACCAATAATAATTATCAAAAAATAACTCTAAAGTAACCATAATAGTGGTAATAATGATACAATAGTTGAAGACGTCATGACAAAACGAAATACTGTAAGGACGCGGATCATTTATATTTTGCTTTTATCTTATGTTACACCCACGATATCACCATATATTATTACACAATCAAAGTAGATTGATCTTGACCTACGTTTCATGCTTGGTATTACTGTAGACCTAGTGGCTTAGTAAAAAAGATCCATATTATTTTGGTTGTCTGTTTTTTTTCTTCAACAATTTATACTTTATAGTTTTGATTCGATTGAATCATGTGTAATTGTTTAATGTACGTTTTTTCTGTTAAAATTTAGAATTCTCCAGTTATATTTTCTTCCTCATCACCATCAGCATTGTCGTTGGCTTCTTCTTCATCTGTCACATCTAAATATTCTTTGACTGCATCATCGTCAGTTCAGGAATGTCATGACATGGACAATAATCAAGACAGTAATAATAATAACAGTAATGTTCTATTAAACCGTAACTACACCAAGTCAAATTGGAAATCAACCAATTCTTATTCGAAAACTATGTCTATTGACTACGCTGACCAGAATAATAACAATAATTTAGTGAATGAAATTCAGTCACTCCCTAGTCCCAACCCACCTACATTGGAACGTTTTGATTATACTACTAATAGATAGACAGCTAGTAATATATATATATATGCATTACTAATAATGTTCAGTTCTTTTTTCTTTTAATTAATACTTGTGTCTTTCAGTTCATTTGATTTATTTATTTATATTCGTTCATCCGATCACTCACTTGTTGCCATTTCTTTTTCTATCCTATAACCTTATTTCTAGGATATTCCATTTTTCGTTTCTCTCTCAACAACCCTTCATATTTCACTTCTTCTCATTATGTGATAATTTGCTTGTTGTTGATAATCTCTTATTTTTTTATGAATTAATTATGATGATAAACTGTGTATTATTGTTGTTGTGGTGGTTGTGATTATTGTTTCATTTATGCATTTCGAAATAAACAAACAAACAGGTAGCAAAAGGAAGTAAGTAAAAAAGACTCATTCGATAGGTTTATTTTTTTGTCAATGAAATTGTCATTTAACTGTCCTTTTTGTTCTTTGAAATCCTATTGCGTTTTCTTCGTTTCTATTGTGTGTGTGTGTGCATATTAATGTAGTTCTTTTGTAATAAAAAGGAAATATTGTACATACAAGAAACATTTAAAATCGGCTGTCTGTATATATGTATTTAATATTGTTACTGCAATAATGGCTGTGTACTAATTACTTTCATATTGTATCATCATATATTCTTTTCACTGTCGTCTGGTGTTTGTTTCATCCTATTTCTTTTGTTTCCATATTCTTCTTTGTAATGGAAAATTATTCAGCTAATTATGGGTATGTATGGTTCTTTTCTTCTGTATCTTTCTCAAGCTCGATTTGAATCATTACATATTATAAATATACATTTCTGTTTTTAAATAATCAATATTCATTCATATGAGATCGGTGCTGTTATTTGCTTTAGTTACGCAGTTCATACTTATATATATACTACTAATTCTCCGATGTCTTTGTATACTACCTCTTTTTATTTTCTGGTCATTGTGCTTTATGTTTGTGCTGTGTGTAAATTTTTACTCAGAGGGGTGGGGTATCTGTATAACTCATGTATGACTTCAGGTTCACTCATTTAAAATTTCATGTTTTATTTAGAATAAACAGTCAACATGGATTGATTCATCAATAAGTTTGTCAAAATTGTTCTTACATTTCAGTTGAAGATGTCATTCTCATTTTTCGGGTCCTCAGTCTTATCGACGCTTGCTATAGATTCTATTTAACTGACATCAAATTTTTAGTAAATTAAGTCATTCATTATTAATTTTGGGGACTTACTTACGCCTGTTACCCCTCGTCGAGGAGCATAGGCCGCTCACCAGCATTCTCCATCCAACTCTGTCCTGAGCCTTCCTTTCCAGTTCTTTCCAGTTGCTATTCATCCTTTTCATATCGGCTTCTATTTCTCGGCGTAGTGTGTTCTTTGGCCTTCCTCTTTTCCGCTTCCCTTCAGGATTCCAAGTTAGGGATTGAGTCGTGATGCACATTGGTGATTTCCTCAATGTATGTCCGATCCACTTCCAACGTCTTTTCCTAATTTCCTCTTCAGCTGGAAGCTGGTTTGTCCTCTCCCATAAAACGCTGTTTCTGATAGTATCCGGCCAGTGGATGTTGAGTATTTTGCGTAGACAATTGTTTATAAATACTTGTACCTTCCTGATGATGGCCGTAGTAGTTCTCCACGTTTCAGCTCTATACAGTAGGACTGTCTTGACGTTCGTATTGAAGATTCTGACCTTGAAATTGGTTGAGAGTTGTTTTGAGTTCCATATGTTCTTCAATTGTAGAAATGCTGCCCTTGCTTTGCCAATCCTCGCCTTTACATCTGCATCCGATCCTCCTTGTTTATCAACGATGCTCTCCAGGTACGTGAATGTTTCCACCTCTTCCAGAGTTTCGCCATCAAGTGTGATTGGGTTGGTGTTTTCTGTGTTGCATTTGAGAATCATGCTTTTTCCTTTGTGAATGTGGAGGCCTATCGATGCGGAGGCTGCTGCTACATTTGCTGTCTTCATCTGCATTTGTTCGTGTGTATGAGAGAGGAGGGCTAGGTCATCTGCGAAGTCCAAATCATCTAATTGATTCTGAGAAGTCCATTGTATTCCGTATTTCCCTTCAGATGTCGAATTCTTCATAATCCAGTCAATCACTAGAAGGAAGAGGAATGGGGAGAGTAGACAGCCTTGTCTGACTCCGGTCCTTACTGGAAATGCATCTGTCAGCTGTCCTCCATGCATGACTTTGCACTGTAGTCTATCATATGAGTTTTGGATAATGTTGACGATCTTCTGAGGAACTCCATAGTGTCGAAGAATTTTCCATAATGTTCTCCTATCCACGCTGTCAAACGCCTTCTCATAGTCAATGAAGTTGACGTATAGTGATGAGTTCCACTCAACTGATTGTTCAACGATGATCCGTAGTGTCGCAATCTGGTCTGTGCACGACCGATCCTTACGGAATCCAGCCTGATGATCCCTAAGTTCAGCGTCTACTGCGTCTTTCATCCGATTCAGCAGCACTCTGTTGAAAACTTTTCCTGGTACTGATAACAAACTGATGCCTCTGTAGTTCTCGCATTGGCTCAGATCTCCTTTCTTTGGTATATTGATGAGATATCCTTCTTTCCAGTCCGTTGGCACTTGTTCCTCTTCCCAAATCTTCTTGAATATAAGGTGAAGCATGTTTGCAGTTATTTCAATGTCTGACTTCAGTGCTTCTGCTGGTATATTGTCAGGTCCTGCCGCCTTCCCACTTTTGATTTGTCTGATGGCCATCTTGACTTCTTCGATCGTTGGTGGAGTGACATCTATTGGAAGGTCAGTGTGGGCTGCTTCGATGTTCGGTGGATTCAATGGGGCTGGTCTATTCAGCAGTTCCTCGAAGTATTCTGCCCATCTTTTCCTCTGTTCTTGAATCTCAGTGATTGTCTTTCCTTCTTTGTCTTTGACTGGTCTCTCTGGTTTGCTATATCTCCCTGCCAATTTCTTCGTTGTATCATATAGTTGTTTCATATTTCCTTCCCTTGCAGCTTTTTCCGCCGTCGTTGCTAGTTCTCCCATGTATTTCTGCTTGTCGGCTTTAATGCTTTTCCTCACTTCCCTGTTTGCTTCTGCGTAGTCTGCTTGTGCTTTTACTTTCTCTGCTCGTGTTCGGCTGTTGTTAATTGCTAGTTTCTTGTTCTTCCTTTCTTGAATTTTGTCCAGGGTTCCCATAGAGATCCATTCCTTGTGATGATGCTTCTTAGGACCAAGAACCTCCTGACACGTTGAAGCTAGTGCTTCTTTTATCCCTTTCCAGTTGTCCTCCAGAATAGTTTCTTGTTCATTCAGTAGATCCTATAGAGCTTGGAACCTATTGTTGAGATTTATCTTGAATTCGTTGAGCTTGTCAGTATCTCGAAGGATGGCTGTATTAAACCTTTGTAGTGCTGTTTGTCCAGTTATCCAGTGTTTCTTAAGCTTCAGTCTCATCTTGGCAACAACCAGGTGGTGATCTGAAGCTATGTCAGCTCCTCTCCGGGTTCTCACATCTTCCATTGATCTTCGGAATTTTTTGTTGATACAGATGTGATCAATCTGATTCTCTGTGGTGTGGTCCGGTGAGATCCATGTGGCTTTGTGTATGCGCTTGTGTGGGAATATTGTGCCGCCTATAACCAATTTGTTGAAAGCACATAGGTTTGCAAGTCTCTCCCCATTTTCATTTCTCTCTCCTAGTCCATGTCGTCCAATTACATCTTCATATCCTGTGTTGTCCACTCCAACTTTAGCATTTAGGTCTCCCATCAGGATGGTGAGATCCTTTCGTGAGCACTTAGCTATGATTGATTGCAGCCTTTCATAGAACTGATCTTTATCATCGTCGTTGCTATCATTGGTGGGTGCATAACATTGGATAACGTTCATTGTGATCCCTTTCTTCTTTGTCCTGAATGATGCTTTGATTATCCTGGGTCCATGAGATTCCCATCCCACAAGTGCATTTCGTGCTTCTTTGGACAGCATTAGAGCAACTCCCTGGGTGTGTGGAGCGTTTTCCCCTTCGTGACCGGAGTACAGCAGCATCTCTCCTGTACCTAGCCTTTGTTGTCCAGTTTGTGTCCAATGGGTTTCGCTGATTCCGAGTACTGCCAAGTTGTATCTCCTCATTTCCATTGCTATTTGGCTGGTCTTTCCTGTCTCCCACATTGTCCGGACGTTCCATGTACCTATAAAGAGTGTTGCTCTGGTTGTTAGAAGGTGCATCGGCCTCGTGATTTCCGAAGAATTTCGGCTTTCATCATGAGACGTCATAATTATTCCTTCAACTCGGAGGGCAGAGTTTAAATGGTTTGAATTATTTTTTCTGGTTAGCGTTTTTTTAGCGAGTTAGCTTTTCTACGGGATGGGGTCGCTAACCCCATGCCCAACCCTCCTCCTTTACCCGAGCTTGGGACCGGCAGTAACCCCCAGAGGAGCTACAGGCGGAGTTTAATTTTGGGAAGGCTGTTATAAAATGATCTTGATTTTAAAATAACAGAACTACTGAGACTTGTGTAAGTCTCATTAATTCTTATTAAACACCACTACGTTGTTTTAAAATTATAGTTACCTAAAATTGCCGAGTTTTCAAGCTAAGATTGTTAACGTCATTATTACCATTAAGGCACGTCATTTTTTCCATTGTGTTTAGTGTCACTTTCAAAGCAATATGATGAAAATCCACATTTTGATTTCGCTCAGTTGTACATTTATCATTTAAGGTTAATCTCCACAATAATTTTCTGCGATTGTAAACAGGAATCGTTTATTTACTCATGTGTTAATTGTTTGCGACACAAAACTTATTGATTTATTAGATTCACTCATATTCCTCCAGTTGGGTCGAATCAGAAAGAAATGAACAACACAGCCATTTGTTTGTTTCATCTTATTGAGTTTATTTGAAGTAAGCAATTACACATTTCCAATAGATTCAATCTCAAGTAATGCGATTTAATTTATCTGATGAAGAATTAAGTGTAAGATGGTAACTTATTGTCTAAAGTATTAGACTTTCAATCGCTAGTTGTTAAGTTCGGACCCTGTCCCACCAACTTCAATCTGGGTATCTCTATAGGATTACCAGGTGTTGCAACTAAAACGTGGTTGAAAGCTAAGGACAGAAATTTCGTACATTACAGTATTGCGTTACGTGCTACATGTTTTGAAAAGTCTTTGAGTAGGCAATTAGACATTACCACTGACT